ATTTTAGAAGGTTAGTGAACCAATAATTTACTGGAAAAAAAAAAACTAGAACTATAATAGAAATTTTTAAAAATTTAGAGGGCTACCATAATGTATTAAATAATTTTATGGGTCCTCATCAAAGATAGTCCAAAAATGAGGGAAGGGTAAGTGTCCAGGCCCCTGGATGAAGGCATAAAGGGTGGAGTTGAGTGAGAAAATTTTAGAGAGAGAGATACTTGTGTTGTGTGCATTTGTGTGTGCTTGTGTAGTGAGTTGAAGACAAAGAGAGGGAAAGAGATGAAGACGGAGAGAGAGAGGGGGGAAGAAACACATGCAACAACAATATTTGTTTCTGGGATTTTGGTGTAATAGTGAAAAAATGTTTTTCCTAACCACGCTTTTTCCTAAAAACATGGTTAGTAAACACATTTTTCATTTGTTAATCATATAATATTTTAGTGATTTTGTATTTAAAATAGGGGTTGTTGACTCCGTTTTTTTAACGCAAAGTAGGATTGTTGGCCCCGTTTTTTAACAAAAGTGAAATTGTTGTCTATATTTTTTAAAAATATCATAGTTGGGTAACTAAGTTCAAAAATATTATATTTTAGTAAATTTATTTTAAAATTGTTGCACTTTGATAAATAACTCATCAACTGTGTATGATTGTAAAGTACTTAGAGAAGGAAAAGAAAAAGAAAAACATGAAAATGAGAAGAGACGACGAAAAATAATTGGCCATTGAGAAATAATTTGAGAAAAAACCCTAACTCAGATGGTGTTTGATAAAACTGAATGCTGAATTTTTTAATTCATAGAATGTTTGGTATCAATTGAAATTTAAGTATTGAATTTAATCAAACTATTTGACAAATATAAGGAGTTGAATTTTAAAAATTATTATTATTATAATTTTATCCTTCTCTTTAATCATCTTTTTGTAACTGCCTTATTCTTATCATCACCATCACAAATGATAAAGGTTGTGGTGGCGGTGTCACAATGGTAGCTGTGGCAACAACGATGGTAATGATAATGATGGAGACAACACTGTAGTGGTGATGGCGGTGACACATTGGTGATGGCAGCGATGACAATGGCGGTGGAGGTGGTGGTGGTGGCGACGACAAATGATATTGATAATGGTTGTGGCGGTGACACAATAATAGTGGTGGTGGTGACGATGACACAATAGTGATGATGATGGTGATAGTGGTAATGAAAGTGACAGTGGTTATGGCACAATGGTGGCGATGATAGCGGTGGCACAATGGTGACGGTGATAGCGGTGGCACAATGGTAGTGGTGGTGGTGACATAATGGTAGTAGTAGTGGCGGCGACCCAATGGTGGTGACGGTGGTGGTAGTGATAGTGGTAAAGGTGGTGGTGGTTATAGTGTTAGTGGTGGTGGCGATGTCACAATGATGGTGAGAGTATATTTGTCAATTATGAGAAATTGATAAAACCCTTATTAACTAATGTTTTCAGCATTAAGTGATAAGTAGGTAACTTGTTACTTAAAATATTACCTATTTTTAAGAAGTGCTTAAAATATTAAGTAGTATTAGTTTTAAGTTATTAAACATGTTTAATTTATTAAGTGTTTAAAGTGTTTAATTTTAAACCTTAAATAGTATTATCAAATAATCCCACTTTATGTCTTTATTCGTACGGGTTTGTTTGACCACAATACCGAAGTAGGTCTGACATCAAAGTTTATAAATTTTGTGGTTGAACATTTAATTTTTGGAGGTTTTGTTTAAAAAAAAATGGGATACATTTAGTATTTTCAAAATTTTAGGATCTTGCCCCTATTAAAATATTGTAAAAAATTTAGGGGTATTTATGTATTTTAAATGTGAATTTCTACAAATTTGGTAGACTTACATGTTGCCTGGGGTCCATGTGTCGGCTTTACGTATTTGGGGACTATAGACCTAAAATGAAACATTAAAAATACATATTTGTTCACACTTGAGTAAAATTTGATCTCAAAAAAAAAGTCTCTAACAAAAATAGAAAGTGATCCTAACCGTATATGTCCTCAGTTTTAGATCTAATGATTCCAAAATGAAACAAATATTTAATTAAAATTCCAACGAATTTGCATTTTGGGTCACACTTGATCTCCATAGGCTAGTGGCATTCAATTTTTCTTTATTTGGATAATTTTAATTAAGTATTATAATACTAACAATTTTAATGTGACTAATGCACATGTCACAATTTTAATTAGGGTGGTTTAATCTTAATAGATTTGGATGATAATGAATGGACCTATTACATCTCCCAAATAAATGGTTCGACACAAATATAGATAAACACAACACATTCTTATTAAACATAACTGATACATAGTGCAAACCCAATAAGATATCAGTATAACTATACATGATTGTAAACATTATTTTCTCATAATTTTTTTCTTTTGGTATTCCCTTACTCTTTTTTCTCTCTTTTATCTTTTCTATTTTGTTTTTCGTCAATTCGTTTTTGATTCTATTAGCGTTTAGCAAGTACATTGAGTGGATAATTTTAAAGAAAATAAGAAATTCTGTCAAAGCTATTGTGAGAGATAACGCAAAAACAATTTTTATAATTTCGACAGTTTTTTCATATTTTTTTAATTTTCTTAGCACTATAAGTAGAGTTATGTTATTATTACTTCTTTTTTTTTTTTTGGCTAATAGTTAGCAACTATGAACATTTGATTTTAAATTGAGTGTATCAATTTCTTTGGAATATTAAGTACAATGATTGATCTCTTAGAAAAATGGATAATAATGAAAGTTCAATTCAAGAAATAAGTTTACAGTATGATCTTAATTGACATTTATGAATAACTTTTATAGTGAAGTTTTTTTTTTTTTTTACAATGCTCTTTTATGCAGTTATTTTTACAAAAATAATTGTTAACACTCTTATTGAATTTTATGTTGCCCCCACTGTGGGAGAAGCCTGGCTCTGCCCTAATTCGATATCAAATATTATTTTTTGGTATCGTACTTTGTAAAATTATCTTTACTCATACTAATTAATAGATAAGAACTGTGCCTAAGAAAAACTCTAGTGTTATCTTTATTCATAGTTAATAGATAATAATGCATTCATGTCCATGAGCTGCTAGCTAAATATAATAATGTGTCAACAGTGAAACGGTTCAGAAACAAAGTAACACATAGACTAGCTAAATATACTATTCATGTTGATTGCTTTGCTATATGGCCAGAGGTGGCACCGGATTTCATAACGTTCGACATTCTTTCGGATTCTCCCAATTAATCGAAATTTTACCGTTTGTTTCAAAAATGAGAAAAGGGTAAATTTCACTGATATTCCCTCAAAATGGTCTAATTTCAGAGACACCCTTTATAGTTTTTGATATGTCACTGCATGCCCTTGTAGACGAACTTGAGTTTCACATAATACCCTTACAATCAATAACGTTATTGACATGTAACGGAATACATGATGTTATGGTTCTTTTATAGTGATATACCATATTTACGCTCAAAATCTGAGATTGATCTTTTCCTCTAATTTATTGGACAAAATTCACTCCTCCTTAGAAGCAACAACCTCCTCCTTGCAGTCGACTTTGATATTTAATTTTATCAATTTAACACCAAATATTAATCAATTGACATTTAATTTTATCAATTCAAATATTAATTTCATCAAATTAACATTCAATTTTTTTAATTTAGAATGTAGTTTCATCAAATTGAACTTCAATTTTATCAAATTGATATTTAATTTCATTAATTCAAATATTAATTTCTTTACACTAACACTAATGTTATCAATTTAACATCAAATTAATATTTAATTTCATCAAATTAATATTTAATTTTATTAAATTAACATTCAATTTATATTATTTAAAATTTAGTTTCATCAAATTGAACTTCCATTTCAACAAATAGACATTTAATATCATTAATTCAACTATTAATTTCACCACACTAACACTAATTTGATGGTTCAATTTGATGTTAATTTAATGAAACTAAATTATAAATTAAATAAATTGAATATTAATTTGACTTTAATTTGAAGAAATTAAATTTTAAAATATTAATTTGATAAATTAAATATTAATTTTTTGTTAAATTGATAAAATTAGTGTTTGTATGATAAAATTAATATTTGAATTAATAAAATTAAATCAAAATTGAAGTTCAATTTAATGTTAATTTGATAAAATTAAATAAAATAAATATCAATTTGACTTTAATTTTGACAAAATTAAATTTTAAAATATTAATTTAATAAAATTAAATATTTATTTCATGTTAAATTGATGAAATTAATATTTGAATTAATAATATTAAATGTCAATTTGATGAAATTGAAGTTTAATTTGATGTTAATTTGATGAAAGTAAATTCTAAATTAAATTTGGGGTGTGTGTTGGGTAATTCAAAAATTATAGGGGTGTAAAGGGTAAACAATAGGGTTGAAGCCTTGAAGGGTAATTCAGTAAAATTATATTTCCGTTTAGTCTGTTAACTGATATAACCTGACAGGGGTGGTAGTGACATTTTAAAAATTATGTGGAGTGTCCCTGAAATTAGGCCAATCTCAAAGAGTGTCCGTAAAATTTACCCAAAAAATACATTCATTTTCATGTGATTATCTTACCCAGTACACACTGGAAAGAAAAAGTGTGGGCCCAAAAATTGTAAAAAGTGTAGTTGTACCTAGTACAAACAAAAGATTGTCTGGACCCCACGTCCGTCCCTCACGTGAGATATCATTTCAGCCTCTCCAATGTCCAGACCATCCCACACTCCATTCATCAATCATCGTTTCGTCCCCCATAAACTATACCCCAACAACAATCGTTTTGTGTATGAACCGTCCCCACTTTTACAGCAGTAGTACCATCTCTCTCTCTCTCTCTCTCTCTCTCTCTCTCTCTCTCCGTGTCTGTATGAGACATATGTGACACATATTTCTCTCTGTATATCACCCTCCCTCTGTCTGTATAGCATGTAAGTTGAAGAAAGAATAGCCCACACCTATCTGTTACACACACAAATACTCACCATGAAAGCCACATTCACAAACTTCTCACCAGAACTGATTTCAACACCCCAAAGCTCGTCAAAATCACCACTATCTCTCTCCTCTCCCTCTCTCTCTTCTTCCTCGCCAAATACTTCTCCAACCCATCCCTAGAACACCTCTCCTTCTTCCTTTCCACTACCACCGCCACCAATTCCACCAACAATGCCACCCTCACCACAAACCCATCTCCGCCACCACATCTGCCGCCACGTAAGCCACAGGGAGCGGTGGTGGAGAGAACTGGGATAATCGATGAGACTGGTTCAATGACTGAAGACTTTGTGGTCGGAGAGTTTGATCCGGGTGTTATTGAGAGTGTGGTGGGTGATAGCCATACAGAAAAGAGAGACAGTGATGAGAAGAGGAGCTTTATGGTCAAGATTGACAAGTATAGGGTTTGTGATGAGAGTATGAGAGACAACATACCTTGTTTGGACAATGTGGAAGCCATTTCGCAGTTGAATTCGACTGACAAAGGGGAAAATTACGAGCGACATTGTCACAAGAAAGGGAGAGAATTGGATTGTTTGGTGCCTAGGCCAAAAGGGTATAAGCTTCACATACCATGGCCAAAAAGCCGAGATGAGGTAATTTAAAAATTATGATTTTTTGTTGGAAATGTTAGTTCTGGTTTTTCTATGATTGTTTTTGTTTTTGAGGTTGATATTTTTTGTTTTGCTTGGTTGTGTTGTTCATATGGGATTGGGGAGATATGTCATAATTGTGATTTTTTGTTATTTAATTTCTGTCATTATGTTGCTTTTATTGACTTTGATTTGTATTGAATGATTGATTGGTTGCTTGATTAGTGGATTCGTGTGACTTGTCATTGTAATTGACTATATGATCATAAAACCCTTCTATATAGTTGAAGTATTGGTGTTTGCGGAAACAGAATAATAGTCAGGCAAAACAGGGTGGGGTTAGCTCATTTAGTGGATAGGACGACTCTTTATATAGATGGTTTGTATGTAAACATTAACTGTAACCTGAAGATATCGTGTTAATGAGGAGACGGGTGCCCCGAATTATCGATAACTAATCTTGATCCGGCAGTATTGTTCAGCTAAATGTTACCTTGTGCATCATCTGTAGTGTAGTTTAGTTGAAGTCACACTAAGTGACATTCGACCAGTCTCAGCTGTGGAAACTATGATGAGTCTTACGCCTTTCCTCCTTGCCCTTGGCTGAAACTGCTATAGTAGATGTCACAAAGCTGAGAGGCCTGTGCTCTGTCACTCTTCCTAGGATATAAATCGGTCATTCCAATGATTTGTAATGAGTACACTGGTTGTCATTTGCTCTTATTCATGTGATAAACCTGTGAAATATGTGTCAGTCTGTGGGAAACTTCAAAATCCTTCACAAAAGCTTTAGTAGATTTCTTAGCTAACACAAACTACTATGTTGCTTGCTTTATTTGCCTTGTTCCTTTGACAGATAACACGCTGGTTAAGCCAAGACAATTAAAAAAAGAAAAGAGAAAGTTAGAGAATAAAAAAAATGAAAAAAATACTAGTCAATTAGAGACAAGGTCTTTCTATGGGTAAGTTTCAAAAGCAATCAACTTACAAAAAAAAGTTTCAAAAGCATTATATGTATTTGGCATTCTAAATTCTTAAAACGTAAGTCTTGCTAAGGTTAAGTTTCAAAATTAGTGGATTGAAGCAGCATGTATTTTTCAGGCAAAGTTTAGCCTTACTTTCATTGACAAGAAACTAAAGGAAAAAGAAAATGCAGCAGAAGTTTGACATACATTCAGAATCTTGTTCATCTTGTTTGTGCCTTTTTATGTGTAAATTGATTAAACAATATTTGAAACATTGGAGCCCGATATTATGATTGGTTGCGATCTTGTTCTGTCTGATGTTCTCTTAATCATCTCTTCAAAGTATTGTCTTTGAAGGATGCTTTGGTTAGTTGAAGACAGGCTTCTTTAAAACTGTTTCTAAGACAGCTTTTGTGATGGCTTAGCTGCCCTAACATGGGAATGGATTTTCCTTTCTTTCCCGTTCTCTAAATATTTCATTCGACATTCTCTTCAAAGCTTATGTGCATTATTCTATTGCAATATTGGACACCCAGTGGAGCTACTTTCTTGATTTCTTGTGTTACCATTACCTCAATGCTGTTTAATTGCGATTGGTGATTTTCCAAAGAAGCTAGTTTTCCTTTGGGATGATTTGGTTGCCTTATCTGGAAATAGGTCTACTCTTCTCTCCTCTTCTCCTTCTCCTTCTCCCATATATCTCACGTGTCATTCTTGTATCCCTGAGGCTAGATATGAATAATGCTATTGATTTTACGAAAGACCTAGATAGCTAAGCTATAGATTTTTGTTGAGTATTTCTCTGTAATACTTGAGGTGTGATATCATTAATCATTGTTAAAGCATTGCTGCATATGATCATGATCAGTTGTTTTTTAGCATAATAATAATTGTTGTTCATGGCTGCATATCTAACTGTTTCCTTGAGTCAAACAAAGATCCCTCAACTAACTTTGATTTCTAATCACAGGTGTGGTTTGATAATGTACCTCATACGCGCTTGGTTGAGGATAATGGAGACCAAAATTGGATAGCAAGAAAAGAAGATAAGTTTATATTTCTAGGTGGAACACAATTTATTCGTGGTGCAGATCAATACTTGGATCAGATTTCCAAGGTTGTCCACCTTGACTATTCTCACTGGATTTAATCCTATGTATGCACAATATTAAATTTGCTTCTTGTTATTTGAATGCAGATGGCTCCTGAAATTGCATTGGGCCACCGCACCCGAGTTGCCTTGGATGTTGGTTGTGGAGTAGCCAGTTTTGGTGCCTTCTTGCTAGAGCATAATGTGACCGCTCTGTCAATAGCTCCGAAAGATGTTTATGAGAATCAAATACAGTTTGCTTTAGAGCGTGGTGTGCCTGCCATGGTAGCACCATTTGCAACACGCCGCTTGTTGTATCCTAGTCAGGCGTTTGACTTCATACACTGTTCGAGATGTAGAATCAATTGGACACGTGATGGTAAACCCGTTTGTTTGTTTCTTTTTCAATTCTAGTATGTAAAGATAATTATTTTTTGTTCTATTTTCTTGTATTTTTTTTTCCTTTTTAAGATGATGACTGATAGAAATGTGAGACACTGAGACATCTCTTTGGCATTGAGATGAAGTGATCCATTTTTTGTACATTTCAATGGGGATTGTCTATTTGTCACATGGAATTCATGTATGAAGTCCATTATAGTTAATTAATGGATTTCTTCTCTTCACTTCGTTTCTTTTTCCCTTTTTTTTGGTTTTTGTTTTTCATGAGTTTGGCTACCATTTAATAGTTTCAAAAGTTTAGAGGTTTATTGTTTTCTTTTTCTTATGAGGTATCAGAAGTCTTTTTTTCTGGTTCTTTTTTCTTTTCTGTTTTGGTTACCTTTGTGTATTTTTACAGGGTAAAAATTTTCTTACACTTGATGGCTGTAGTTCTTGGTATTAATTTTGCTTTTTCTTTCTTTTATTTGTTGTGAAGATGGAATTTTGCTTCTTGAGGTGAACAGGATGCTAAGGGCAGGAGGATACTTTGTTTGGGCAGGTCCACCTGTTTATAAACACACAGACAACCTACAAGAACAATGGAAAGGTAACTGATGGTGTTAAGGTTATGCAAATACATAGGTCAGGAAATAGAATTCAGGCTAGCTCCTAATGGTGGGCAATTGGGCATTGATTTTCTTCTGCAATTATGTTTCTATAATCTGCATTGCTAAATTAAGTTTCATTTCTCAATTATTGCCTACTTGCGCACAGAAATGGAGAATCTTACTAGTCGCATCTGTTGGCAACTTGTAAAGAAAGAAGGATACATTGCTATATGGCGGAAGCCTCTGAACAACAGCTGCTATCTCACTCGCAAACCTGGAGTACAACCTCCATTATGTGATGCTGATGATAACGCAGACAGCGTCTGGTACTTCCTACACTCCCCCTTCAAGTTTGCATCATTACATAGCATATGTTATTTTTTAAATTTGTTTTTGAGTCACCAACTTTTTATTTAGCATACATGGTCTTGAGATAATGGTTAAATGTCCTCATTCCAGTTCCACTAGTTCCATTCTTAGAAAATGTGTTGCGGTAAATCCAATATGGGTGCAACTGTCTCTGGAAAATCGAAGATTAATGACACATAATAGTAATACCTATCATGCACTTCCATGTACTTAACAAAATTTGGGATAAGAAAATTTAGTTGTACAGAATGGAAGTCTACCACGTTGTGGAGCATTTATTCCAGCCAGCAATTCTCTGGGCTTTATGCATTTTCTGGTATACTGCACATCGTTGCTTGAACCCAAGACACATAATATATAAGGAGAAACATGATTTCAATTCCACAAGATACGTTGCTCTTTGAATTTTATCTTGGTTAGAGGATACAAATAATCATGGCTTCGTCAACAATCACAAGGGCTATTTTCCATCTCTGGACTGCTTTGTAGGTCTGCAGAACTGGTGAACCAGCTTTTTGACCATTTCACTGTCTCAAAGATGGTTAGGTTTTGAAATATGCAGGCATTTGTTCATTGGATATGTTTGGACCCTGTTTGAACCAAAAACTCGTGAGGGTCATATTTGCCAAATCCTTTTGTCCTGGCAGTATAGAAACAGTCAAATGAGTCTGAAAAAAAATATGCATGTAAACTTTGCTTTGGTGAAATTCTGTTGGCATCGAATTCCAATGTCTTTGTCATTCTTGAAACCTGGTTTATTAGTAAAAATGTCTTAGCTTTATGAATGCAGTGAGAACTGATCTTGTATAACTCATCAACTCCCCTCCTGCCCCTACCCCTTGCAGCTGTCACAGATTATGAATTATCAATTTGTTCAAGGCATAACACATTATCTGGTTTAACCTTCATAACCATTTGATAATGTTTACAACCTAGTTATAGCTACCGAATTATCATAGCGGAGTTTACCTGCTCCAAACCAAGGACATCTGCTCTTGAATTTCTCCGTATATTTTTGTTAAAGTTTTCTCATATCATGTTTGATAAAATGTTTAATAAAGTTAAATAACAGGACAGAAAAGTGTGGCTCGAATGCTCCCTCTATATAGCAAAAGTCCTCCTTATTCCTTTGGCAACATTGCAAATAGTAAATACTTCCCATCCTGCTGTGTTTTTCAGTGTGATGTTCTGGTTTCCTGTCTTTTCCTGGCTACCCACCTATAGTGTGTCAGAGTTGCTGCATGCCTGAAACATATCTACCCAAATGGATAACTACACAAATCTGTAGTCCTTATTAAGCGAAAGCTCAAAAAGTTTAAACTGGCCAACCTCACTATATTCATACTTTCTCGAAGGTATGTAGGTCTGAAGGCATGCATCGCTCGGCTGCCAGAGAATGGTTATGGCGCTAATGTTACCACATGGCCTGCACGCCTTCATTATCCACCAGACAGGCTCCTTAGCATAAAAATGGATGCCTACAAGTCTAGAAAGGAAATCTACAAAGCAGAGTCAAAATATTGGAATGATATTGTAAGTGGATATATTATTGCTTTCCACTTGAAGGAATTAAATGCACGAAATGTGATGGACATGAGGGCTGGGTATGGAGGGTATGTGCTTTGTATCCCTTTTGCATTTTTGAATTTTTGCCTCTTATACTTTCAAAATTCGTTTTAATTTTCATTGAGATTTGGGAGATCTTACAAGTTATTGAGAATGTTTCTCATGGCAGGTTTGCAGCAGCATTACATGACTTCAATATTGATTGCTGGGTTATGAATGTCGTTCCTGTTAGTGGTTCTAATACATTGCCCGTAATCTATGACCGTGGACTCATTGGAGTTATGCATGACTGGTATGGAGTATGCACTTCTGTTTACATAGTTCTCGATCTTTCATCAACGCTTCCAAGTATCTTGAATAAAGTTTGTTGTGTGAGAAGTGTAGGCATCTGGAGTTATTGAATGCTTTTGCTCTTTTGAACGTATATATATTTCAAAAATCTGTGATTTTTGTATTTTAAGCTTATCCAGCTATGATTTGTGTGTCTCTGTGCGTGAGTACCATGGCAAAAGTACATAAGCCCAGAATTGTTAATGGATATATGTGATACAATATGTATTTTTTTTCCTAGTTTTCTTTTTCCTTTTCTCTCTTCCTCATGGGAAACGGAACCACATGGAAAGAAAGAATAATACAGTGGTAGAATGCTTCTCAAAAAGAGATTCTGAACAAACATATATACAAAGGCCAAAAACAAAATTGATGTTGCATTTCTTGATTTCATCCCCTTGTAAGACCTTGGTATCGTAAGAGCTGGTTCGGTGAGGAGATCAATTTAGAATCGACTTGTATATCTATCGAACTGCAAACACCGGTGCTAGAGGTGTGACAATTCACTCTTTCTGCAATTAAAGGAACCATATAATAGTATCACGGCATCTCCAACCGTAACAAAATAAGAAACTGCAGAAAGATGACCTTGTGGTGGCTTTTAGCATATTCTTCTGTAATTATCATTCTAGTAAGGCCTATCTCTTAACCTCTGTTAATGCAATTGAAAGAGCATTGATTTCTGCTCATTTGTCTTCACTTAAACATTACAAGCCTTTAAGAATTTGATGAGTTTTGTGCAATGTTAGCAACCATTTTGAATATGATTACACATCTAATAGGAACCGATGCCTTCCTGTAGCTCTGAATTTTTTCTTATTAAATTGTTCAATCACTGCATTTTGTATCGGATCATCTGCAGATGATTTAGTTCTTATTTTGAAAGCTTTTTATAAGACATAGTGAGCTGTTGTTTGTCGATGCGTTCGTGACATATATTTTGACATTGTGTGATGCTTGAAATTGTCCCCAGGTGTGAGCCATTCGACACTTACCCGAGAACGTATGATCTATTGAATGCAGCAGGTCTTTTCTCTGTAGAGCAAAAAAGGTAAAATTGATGTCTTGTTTCATATTAATGTACCATTCATAAACATCATTTAGTTTTTTTTGGCAAAAATCGTACTATTTATCATTGTTTCCCGTATATCTAAGTAGGTGTAATATGTCAACCACCATGCTTGAGATGGATCGAATTTTAAGACCAGGCGGGCGAGTTTACATTCGAGACACTACAACTGTTATTGATGAACTGAAAGAGATTGCAGATGCCATGGGATGGGTGACCTTTAAGTTTGACACTGGGGAGGGTCCCCATGCAAGCTTGAAGCTTTTGCACTGTGAGAAGCGTTTGTAACCTTCATTTTTTTCAAACCCCCAGCCCACCATGTCAAAGATGTTGTTTTCTTTCTTCACTGTAATAGAGAAAACTAGTTTTTTTTTTTTTTTTACTTTCCGGGTATAGTAAAATCCTGGAAATTCCTTGGTAACTAAATCATACGAGATAAAGAAAGATGGTACATGGACTAACTAGTAATCTACTTCTATACATTAATCAGTCTGTCAAGGATTGTAAAAGACAAGGACACTAAGGAAGATCTAATGCCATTTTTTTGACAAGATAGAGAATTTCCTAACCTTAATTTTTCTATTACCCCCCTCAGCTTGACATGTGGATGGTTTTTTGTTTTTTTTTTTTTTTTAAGCTATAATTTTTGCTAATGGATGGCTTATTATCAAAGTCGGACCTAGAGTGATGGTAACTATTCATTTGCCCAAGTGACATTTCCCGGATTAAACATCGAAAATTAAACTCTCCAAAATAAGAATAAAAAAGCTTACATTTTATCTCTTGTAGACCCAGTCAGAGGCATTGAGTATGACCTATAACACCTTTGTGATGACCGAGTTGGATTTTCATACATTGTGTGCAGTTTAAACTTTAAACAGCAACCCAAAAAAAGGGCCTAAAATCCAATTATTCTACTGTTAACGACCCTATATCACCATGTCTTTCTCAAGTTTTTATATGTGTATCTTACCGCTGTTGGTCAAGTAAAGGCATAGTACCTTAATTTCTGACCCAATTCAAAAATGCCACATTGCCATGCAAGTACTATAAAACCTTGAATGCATCCCATACTGTTAACTTCATTTTTTTTGCTTGTTCATCCCATATTGTTAACTGGTTTTAAATTGAGGTTAATGGTAGGCTTAATGACCACCACCCTTGCTGTTGAACCTTAAGGTTGCGAATTCAAACAACTGGGTCTAGATTTAATAAGAAGAGACAGGTTAGGAAATAGATCATTGGTATTCATCTAATTACTCACCCCATACGAATAGGAATCTCACCTAACAAAATCACCAGTATGAAGAACAGAGAGACGGCAGACTGCCACTGCCACTTCAACCGCCCTGTCTCCGGAGGGCTTTAGGTCCAAAGCTAAAAGAATTCATATGCCCCCTAAAAAGTACTCCTATGAATTCGGATTAGAAAACCTTCAGCAAGTTGGTGTGCGGGAGCTTCTGAGGCTTAAAACATCAATTCAGATGTCATACAGTAAACAAACACCCTTGAAAACTATCTAATCAGTCTAGCAGGTGACCTGAACCCAAAATTATGTTCCCTAGAGAAACCATTATTATTTGCATCCAAATGAACAACCCAAAACTTAAAAAAGAAATGATAAAATGCACACCCAAAAAATAGAAAAGAAAATGAAGAAAAAAAATCTAGTACTGTACTTGCCTACGGCTTTGTGGAAGGATCTTTACGTGCAGCAGTATTAACCTGTTTGGAGAGATAAGCTTCATAAATTTCTACAAGAAGTCGAGGATCTTTTTCAACAAGTTCGGCATACTCCTCCCGTTTACTTAGCTTGTCCATGTTGTCCATGATCAGTGACAGAGCTGCATCAAGCAAGTTCTTGGCATTGTGCTGATAAGCAAAGGCATAGCTCGGAAGTGAATTCTCCCAGTTCAATTTAGACATCATGAACTTCTCACAATAGGTCTTAAGATGCTTCACTTGATACTTTTCAGCCAAGACTAAAAGGTCACAGGCCATCTGCTCGTCAAGGCATGCTTCAGCAGTGTACAAATAATTGACAAACATACGAAGTGCATCATATGATACATCACCGATCTTGATGGTACCACTAAGGCTTTCCTCCATCTCATTTTCAAGCATGGCCCTGAACACTGGAGAACGACTGGCCTGGTCACACGTAACATAATTAAGTAAATATAACAAGATAAACATAAGATAATAACTCGAAAGGATTCCATACTACAAAAAAAAAAAAAAAGCAGTTAAAGGTTACTAAATTATATCATCTACTCCAGAGTGGATCCCTGGGTGCAAAAATGCACCATACAACACAACAGAACAGAGTATGAAGGCCCAGCAAAGGACAAAGTTTCTTCTCCACATTGATGAATAAGTGAATTAGAGAATTATGCCCTTTTCATGTAAATAATAAGATACTACCTAAGAAAGGTCACCGAAAATTGATCAGTGATCATTCACTGATGCTAGGATCTGCTGAAGTCTAAGGTGAGATCATTAGCTGCCTTCCAAAAAGAACATGGTCATGAAGAGGCTGCCACAGATGCACAAAGAACTCTTGGCCAAACCAAAACTAGCTAGAACAATATCAGATGAAATCACAAAAGTTTGTTGACATTGTATCTGAGTTATTCGTATGAGGTTCCATACACAGTTTACACCTTTGCACAAAAAACAACAGTTGTTCATTTTTTTCTATCATGCCATAGAGAATGTCTCTTCAGCAGTACTCGAGGAGCAGTGGCTTCCCGACATTGATTGCAAATCTCAGCCATTTCCCCAATAAGTGCTATTTGCCACCTAGATTGCAGCACTTAACCAAAAATCGTAACCAATTAGAACAACCCTAAGACTAACAAATTCTTAATTTTTCATCAACTTATGATGATCCAACCATAAGTAACAGGCCTCTCTAATTTTTTAATAGAAACAAGTGCATGGTAGCCCTATTTGCGAGACAGAAAAATGAAATTAGTGAATCTTGCAATTGAACTCAGGCACCTATATCTCTGTATTGCACCTTTAAAAGCTTAATTAGTGCTTTAGAACTGAAAATCAGCTACTATGTGATGCTGAATTCTCTCAAACAAAACTAAAGAGCAATGCATGATTAAAGAATTGACAAGAAAAAATTTGAACAATTTTTGTCCAATCACGACGTTGAACAATGCAATGAAGCTTTTAGAGGTTGACACTCACCAAAGAAAACATGCAAATTTGATTTTTGCGTTGGTGAATAGATTATCCAAAATTGCATGAATGCATTTGGCTCTTATGACTAGAAGAGAACATAGCATGAATCAGTGCATTTGTTCTACCGCCACAATAATTGTAAACAGTGCCTTGGTCCAACTATTGGAGGGTATAAACCTAATCACTCTCAACCATCACTTTCCCCCCTTTGTTTTATGTTAGATCTTCAATTCCAATACTGATGCAATCTTTTTCTTGCAACTAAATCCTGAAATAATAGTCATTAAAACGATAGACCCTAGATCTGGTGCTCCAGCACTTTATGACATATACCACATGTGACAAAGATAGTAGTCCTTTTACATGAATTACTGTCTTTCTTGCAAAGACCAACAGACATTTTTGGAGATATGCACAACAATCCTTCCTCAGAAGCCTAGCATTTACTTTAAAAACATAATATTGGGAGAAGAATGCAATGTGATAGCTTTATGCAGCGAAGGGACATCACTTTCAGTGTTGTAAACAGCACAGCGAAAGAAAAGAGAGAGACATAATTGAATAGGGAAAATGACATTACCATTCAATTGACTAAAGACAGATATATATAGTTACACATATGAAAATAAAGCAAGGGCTTTATTACCCCACACTCACTAACACTTCTTCTCAAGTTGGACTAAAGATATCAAATAGTCATAACTTGGAACAAATATTTCCAATTTTATCTCTACTGAGTGAGTTGGTGAAGATATTTGTCAACTGATCTGTAGACCATACAAAACAAGTAATGGCTTTTTTCGATTGAAGCTTTTCACGAACAAAGTGACAATCAACCTCTATATTTTGTTCGTTGATGAAAGACTAGATTTGAAGCAATATGAATTATAGCTTAATTATCACAAAATAATTGTATCGGGAAGGTAACTGAAATACCAATCTCATGCAATAAATTTTTCAACAACATCAATTCACAAGTAGTTTGAGTTATAGCCCTATATTCCGCCTCAATACTGGATCAAGCCACAACACTCTATTTCTTACTTTTCCAAGTCACCAAATTTCCTCCAAGAAATGTATAATACCTTATGGCAGATCTTCTATCTGATGGGGAGCCAGCCCAATTTGCATCAATAAAACCAACTACCAGTAAATGTCCATGAACTCTATATAATAATCTTGGACCGAGAGCTTTTTCAAATATCTCAAGATTTTAATCACTGTCAATGAGGTACTCTTGAAAATTTCATAAACTAACTCAAAACACTAACCACAAAGTAAGATATATGGCCTTGTAATAGTTAGGTAATTCAATTTCCCCACTAGTCTTCTATATGTTAAAATAGCTCCCCCCGTTCTATGGTTAATTTTGTATTACATTCCATGGGAGTATCAATTGATTTTGTTCCCGTAAGTTCTGTTTCAGCAAGTAAATCCAGTACATACTTGCGCTGAGACAAATTGATACCACACTTGGATGTTGCCACTTAAATTCCCAGAAAGTACCGTAACCTACCCAGATCTTTAATATGAAACTTCTACTGCAATAATGTTTTTAGAGCAATAATACATTCACTATCACTCCCCGCAATAACAATATCATCCACATAGACAACTAAAACGATTGTGCGAAATTCAAAATTCTTACTAAACATCGAATGATCCACTTGACATTGTTGAAGTCCAAAGTCTAACACAACTTCACTTAATTTGTCAAACTATGCTTGAGGTGATTGTTTTACGTCATATATCACCTACTTTAACTTGCATACCTTCCCACTAGACTCCCCCTGAGCAACAAACCAAGGTGGTTGCTCCATATAAACAGTTAAGTCACCATGCAGAAAAGCATTTTTGATATCTAACTGAAACAATGACCATTGAAAATTTGCTGCTAGAGAGATAATAAAATAAACAAATAAGATCTTAGCAACAGGAAAAAAGGTTTAAAAATAATTCATATCATATATCTGAGTAAAACCCTTGGCGACTAGTCGGAGCTTTTAATCTCTCAATGAAACCATCAGACAAGTGCTTGATAACATACATCCATCAGCAACCAACTAATTTCTTCCCAAAAGGAAAAGGAATAAGGTCCCAAGTATGGTTTTCATGCTAAGCAGTAAGTTCCTCTTTCATTGCTTGACACCAACCAAGATGAGTAAGAGTTTCATGAATAGAGTTAAGGAACAAAAAGAGAAAAGACAAATGATGTAAAACAACAAAAGGTAGGAGAGAATCTATCATAAGAAAGAAAGTGTTCAATAGGATGAGCAATAAAACTCGTAAGGATGGTACATGAGCGCTTCTCTTTCTAAGTGCAACAGGATGTTCGGCATCAAGACCTTATGACGATATAATGGGTGACGAAGGCACTTGGACAACAACTTTTTTGCAACGGGAGTACACCTGTGTAATAGAAGGTTTTATAGCATAAGAGAAAATGGGCTAATATGCATTGAGATTATTCATAATATTTTGCAGTGCCGATTAGTATTCTTCAATGTTCTTATCACCTTGTTCCTTGCTGAACAAAACTTAAAATAACTAATAAATTCGAGTAATATTATCTTTTCCAATAAATAAATGACTAACTGCAATTCATATCTCCTTAGCAGTTTCAAGAGACCCGAGATAAATACTAATTTAAGGTTTCATACTGTAACGATTAAATTTTGACTCGAAAGTGATTGAATAATTAATTTTTTTTATGAATCTTATGATATTGTTGAAAATTATATGAACATTAATTTGAGGTCAAATTATACATTAGGATTTAATTATGAAAGAGTTGAATATTACAAAATTTATTGAAACCGAAATTTATCAAGTAGGAAGGAAAAAAATTAACAAAATAAAATAGATAAATGGGGACCAACGGATGTAAATAGTAATTGGACTTGGAATTGTGTTATCTAACATTCAAGACTTAAGACTAAGGTGTGTGCAACGTGTACTTTGGAGGAAATAAGGAGTGAGTGGTGGCAGCTTGTGGTGTGTGCATGTAAGGTTGGTTCTTGTATGCATTGTTAGGACACTAGCTATGAAACGTGTCAAACAAAGGGAAATGGGAGAGAGATGAGTCATGTGATTTTAAGCATGACAAAGCATTTTATATATTTGCCATATTATATATAATATGGGGAATGGGAGGTGGCGGCTGCAAGTGCGAAGAGAAGAAAAAAAAAACAAAGATTTAAACCGTGAGTTTTAGAAGAGAATGTAAAGGTGATTGACGATCCGTTCGAGTTGAGATTCAAGAATGATATTCTTGGGGATTAGAAGTTGATTTCTAATGATATCAATTGAGAATTGGGTAAGTGGTTTATACATAATATGCATTCCTTTAATCTTTTTGCAAAGAGTACTTTATTGATATCGTCCTATTCGTATTCAAATTGTGACATTGTTTGGGTTTGAGTTTCGAAATAATATTTCGTTCAATTGTTGATATTTTGTTTGACTTGTCATTAATCGCTATGATGTTTGCTTTGGTGAAATACTTGAGATTTTTCAACTTGTACATGAGGTATACTCGGTGGCATGGTTATGATTGTGATTCGTGTTCGCGGCCCTAAGGGGTGGACATAATTGAATTAAAATGCACCGAATGATGCCTAGCTTGTTGTTGGGATTGACCGAGTGTTCAATCATGGTTGATTTGATTTGTTCAAACGTTCGAGATCGTTGACTTGTTCAATATATTTATACTCCGTAAATTATCGTATTAATTCTTCTGTCATCGAATGATTATCGGTTAGTTGATAAATTATCGTCTCGCCCTTTGACTTCGTATATTATGTTTTAAATTACTTACTGAACTTTTCCCAGCTCACCCCCATTTACCCTCTCAGTTGTAGGTTGAATTTGGAGTAAAATTTGGTAGAGAATCAAGTTGATCAATAAATGAAAGATTTCGATTGGTTATAATTTAAACAGTTATCGAGAGGTTATTTA